TTCGCCGACGTTTCGGCCGAAGTTCAGGCCATCATCAGGGATTCTGTACAAGAAACTTTACTTTGGTATATTTGGTTAACATTCTTTTATTTTTTTAATCAAACTTTACTTTGGTCTGACTTTACTTCTTGCACAGCAGCCCTGATTAAGGTCTGAACTTCGGGCCGAAACGTCGGCGAATGTAAAAATAAATAAAATTATTTATTTTTTTACATTTCAATTTGACTGATCACCCCAACCATCCTTCTCTTCTATTAAATTTACACTTTAAAATTTTACTTCGTCGTACTTTTTCTGCCATGCGTTAGCTAACCATGTAATCAATAGCTGCACTACCGCCGACAAATTTCCCACGCCGAAGCAGGTTGCAACACGACTCGCTACCCAATTCCATATTAATCTTATTGCGGCAAAAACTTTCTGTGGAGATAAATATGACTGAAAAATTAGAGGAACAAGGTTCATAAATTGGCTCTAGAAAGAAATTAGTCGAATTAAATCCAAGCAAAACAAATAACTTTACTGCAGATTTTATTTTATTTTATACAAATCTCCTTTTGAATAAATACCTGTATTAGTTCATTGCGATTCTGTGCATAATGTATCGAACCACTCTAACATGTTCATGTCTCATTTTCAAAATTTATTGCGATGTCTTTAATTAATTTTTTTTTATCACTGATTTTATTATTTAGATTATCCTAGATGATCAATCCTAGATCCATACCCAAAGGCTATTTGGAATTGTTAGTACAGCTTTTGGGCCCCATTAAACCACACTACCCTTTCGATCCGAAATCCTTAATTTGTCAAAAACCAAAACTTTCATAATAACCTCGATGTTCCCTGTTTATATATGTTTTATCGATTATAAACGCCAACGTAATATTGTCTAATTTATCATGAAGTAATTGTTAATAACCTAAATTAAATATTATTTTAATTATTGCTTCCTTGTCAACAAAGAAGCTAACTTGCTTATGATTTTTTCATTCAATAATATAACATTCTTTCACACGGACAATAATTGTAGTGATGTTAGAAAAAATTCACACCAACTTACTTAAGAAAATACAAAACGTTAATTTCCTATTTTTCCGCAGAAACCATGGTTTATATAGACGTGTTTGTAGCTCTTGAGGTTTACCTTTACATTTTAAAATATTTCCTTTTACTTACGTTACATCCTATATATCTAAACAAACATATGAAATATATATGCCGTTTCAGTGTGTCCTGCAAGACTTTTTTTTTTAAGTCTATCTTACTAAAACCATATTCATCTCTCTGCTATGATGCATTCATCATTCTTCTATAGTTAATATTTTTTTTTTATTGCATGATATAATACTTACAAAAAGCCAGTATAACTTGGGATAAAGAAGAGTTTTCGATAAGTACTTGTAATTACGTCAATAGAAGCTTTGTGAATTTCATTATCACAATTTCAATGTGATAAGATTTTTACTGCCAATTAATTTTCTTTAATTAAGAGTTCTGGGAGTACTCCACGCTTTGCAAGTGCGTAAACTTTTGCGTGATGCCGACCGTCAACAATCGAAAATAGTAACGGTACAACAGCGACGCCATTGTTGATACCGACAGCACGAGTGTAGAAAGCGAAATGAAACAAACATAGAACCCGGCAACGCAAGAAGTGAAATTATAAAAAACAATAGACCTATTGTAGTGGTCTAATGCGTCCATCGGCTTCCGAGCTCATCTTCATTCTTCTGCGCCAGGAGATAATGACTTCTCTTATACACTAATTACAGTTCTTCTTTTGGTAACTTCGTCAAGAAGAGTATCTCATGTATCAATAACATCGAGGATACTTTTGAACTGAAGGACTGGTCCGATCTCTGGAGATCGGATAAATTGGAGTTTTCAAAAAAGAGTGTCGTTCAAAATTAGTATTAAATAGTGCCAACTGTCTTCTGTATTTTTGAAAATGCCCTATTCGTCGTAAATTACTCTTTAAAAATTATGAATATCTAAAATGCGGGTTGATGATATTTTTGACCAACGATACCACCAGGACCATCTCCTTTTCAATTTATTCTACAGATAGCCAATAAGTTTGACATCCGAAATTGCTGCACGAAGGGGTGGAACTTCTTAGTAAGCAGTAAGCAAGTATTCAAATGAATCCCGACAGAGTTGTTGATTTTTCTTCTTCGATGATCCAAAACCTTCTACTTGGCTTAGTCAAACCCAACTTTATGCGAGCTACAAGAACTACCAAGATCAAGTTTCCATCGAGGCGGGTAACGGGCAGACGGGTTATCGAAGGCAACGGTACTGGCCATTAGCCGCTAATAGGGGTTTGGTTTTAGCAGGTCGGGATACCTGCAGGTAGTGTGCATGGGCTCTAAGTGTAAAATATATAGCAAAAGCATATATGTAACTACGGAAGACTAAAAGTATCAAGTATAGAGAGGTGCAAGGAAGTTGAGGGTTCGCTACTGGTAATGAGACGCAAGAATGAGAGAAAAAGAAAAGGGTATAACTGGAGGCCAAGGCTGACGTTGACAGTTAGTTAAGAATGAATCGAAATAATACAAGTGATAAAAAATACTCACCTGTACTATATTTTTTTTCTTTATTGAGCAAACGACAATACAGTCATAATGAAGAAATATATTTATTACAATACCACAACAAATTTTCAATATATGATATTTGTAATCTTTAGACTAGTCCAGAGTAGTGTTGCCCAAATGCGAGACCAAGACGAGTCTTGGTCTTGCAAACTCAGTCTTGGTCGTGGTCTTGGTCTTACTGTCATTTTTTAGATAGGAGAAACCTAAGTAGGCCCGAATGAAAAATTAGAGGAGTTAAATGTAAAAGTATATTGGTTATACCAATTATTAATATATAGTAACTAAAATTGTCGAGTATTAGTAACTATTTCACCTTAATTTTTATTTAAAAAATCGATTATTTTTACCAGTCCTGGTCTTGGTCTTGCAAAGTGCAAGACCAACACCGATTTTGGGCGACACTAGTTCAGAGCATAAAGCCATGGGAGTATCTTTGATTTCTTCTTCGTTCAAAGTTCATCGTGAAACCCATTTATTTTTCATAAAATAGTTACTTTCATCCTTTATAAAGAAATCGACAATAATATAGAAAATAAAATAATTAATGTCATCGATTATTTTTAAAAATACAAAAAACCTTTGAAAAGAATTTAACTGGAATGAATCAATGCGGTTCGTTGGTTCTGTTAGATGACAAGCGTTGTACTCTTTTTCAATCACGTTTCTTCCCACCAACCTTCTTTTTATTCTTCTTTTTTTTACGAAAAGAGTTTCTTGGGATAAACAATTGATTATGTTGAAACCCCAAAACTTTAAAAGTCTAGGTAAAATAATTTCACTGGGTTTACTGATTCGTTTCGCAAACAGAAATTGCTCGTATAGAATAAAAGGGACACTACTAGTTAAAGTACACTTGCTATTTTTAAGTACCCGTTTACAATAATTATGATAGATTTTCGTGGTCATCCTGGAAACCAAACGCCTCTCTAACCAATGTAATCATCAATTAATTAATTGGCAATGCGTTGTTTTTGCATTGCTGAGTAATTGATCGGGTAAATGCTAACCACATAGCTTAATATTTTGTTCTGTTTCCGTCAATCCGCCGTCTTAGTGAACGAATGGCGAGGTCTGCTGGAAATTCAGTCTCTAACTATTCTTGAAATATCATAATTATTATGTTTTATTAAAATTGTTCTAATATATTACGGTAGATAAAAACAGCCGGAATACCTAGTGAAATAATTTTTTTGAAAAATATAAAATGTATTGGTTCAAAAGTTGTAACTATCTATAAAAGCCAAAGCCCCCATGACTTGATGGTGTGTATTTACTTCCAATATATTAATGGTTACAACGACACTCAGGAGCTGATGAGCGCAAAGTGGTCCAAGTTCACCTTGAGTTCTTCTACAGGCGTCCTTTCTATGTTTGTTGTTTACCTTTCCTCTGATCAATATATTCCTGCGTCTGAAGGTCTATTAAAATGAATGTACGGCATTCATACCAAATCATCCGTTTCAAGCCTTGATTAACACATGAAAAGCAATCATAAAAATATTTTTCAGCACTTGAGAATCCTGCAGGGGCAGGGCAATTTAAATGGATAATGGAGAACCGCAATCTTCGTATATGCGGTTCTGTAAATTAATGAAGTATTATAATGTTTTTGTAATAATATTAAAGAATTTTAGATCTGAGGATTAGAGGGACTGAGTTGATGGATTATTTGAAGGATCGGTTGAATAGCATAGTCTAAAACAATCAAAAACTCCCCTTGTTCCTCGCTCATTTTCCTCCATTTTGACTTTGGCTGTATATTATACGGTGGTCTCTTTCTGTACTGGAGGACACATTGTAGCGAATCATGAACTGTACTCATGTAGGGAGTTGAAGTACGCTGTTCTCCTCCTCCCTCGAGTATATATCCTCGATTTTTTTTTTAGACTAAACAATTACCTTCCAGAATCCTTCCTTCATATACAGTCTTCTGCAATTCAAAGCTTTGATCTAGTTATAAAAATATATCCCGGGTTTCCGACCTCTTTTTCCCTTCTCACAGTACTGAAACCTCTGAAAGATCCTTTCCTACAGTTCACCAAATTTGAAATTTCTTACCTATATACGATACGTTTGTTTCCTATTCTTAATTAATTGCGTCCTTTCTCGTTACGTTCTCATCACTTAAACGAATGTTCTATAATCTTGAAATTTGTAATAATAATCTTTATTAATCTTAAGGATTAATTCATACTATTCACTTTCGATTTATTTTTATTTTTTCTTTATTTTTTCCTTCTTCTGTTCATTTCATTTCATTATATTGTTTGGTATTAATTTTCTTTTTAGCTGAAGAAAATCATGTATTGTTACTAATTCTAGTCCCACTATTCTTGATTATCTTCACCTCTAAGGTATCTAGTTTGTAGAATAATCACTAATCCGACATTTTCTTGCAGAGGGTGGTGGCTGATAGCTGCCCTAGTCCATTTGGTCGCTGGTGCACCGGGATGCGAGGAAGTGCAGCGAGCCGTCGGCTACCCTTGCTCCTGCAGGACCAACTCCGAGGGAGAGATCTACCTCGACTGCGACAGGGTCATCCTCGGTGCAGACTTCCCGACGCTGCCTGTCGGAGCGCCCATCGCATCCTTCTCGCAGCGGTCATCGGGAATCCAGCATGTTCCAACTCAGGCCTTCGTCCAAGCAGGTTAGTGCCTTGTAACTGCTTCGTATAGCTTTTTTATTCAGAATAATAATATTATAATAAAATAAAAACTAGTTAGCCCGTGCAAATAATTCGCCGGAAAATTGGTTTAGTGAAGAAATAGCAAAAAAAAAAATATTGAAATAAGTAGATCCTATGTATTATGTGAAATAGGAATTAATTGTTTTTCTTGGTTGATAGCAATATTCCATTTAACATAGATCAAAATATTTGTAAGAATTGCTTTGGCAAGGCCTATTTTTAATCGCTGAAGCCTCGATCATGGGATTTTCTAAAAAAATATAAAATGTACGATCAGAAAAATAATAATAAAGTATATATCAGCCAAGAAAAAAGGCGTAGTATTTTTAGAATAGTAAATTCAGTATCTTTAAAGAAGAAATTATTAATTATACCAAATCTAATGGACTGTATCATTATTAACAATTGTCCGATTTTTTTTTTGTGTAATTTATTAGTCTTTCTAATAATCATGGGTACATTCCAGAAAAAATACATAATTTTTGAGTTATTTGCAAATAGCGTTTCTTTTCCTTCATGACTTTTTTCTAGAAATTTCAGAGGATGGAGGGTATGACTATTTTTCTCATGTGAAGGAGAAGTTCTTCAAAATGAGCGGTCAATCATTGAATTTGATAAAGAATTGACGATGTTGTGGCGTACCGACAAGAAACACCTTTTAGAAACAATATGTAAAGATGCGAACAGTAAAGCTCTTTCAATAAATTCGTATCTCCTCACCTCTCCAAGATCATCCATTTACGTTTGGAAAACAAATGAAAAGTTATTTAATCGTTTTATTAATGTTTGCATCGAAAATTTGGACAGAATTGAATGAATTTCCTGATCATCTTATTTTTTTTTATACCTTTTATAATTTGTTTTCAAGTTTAATTAATCCAAATGACGGGAGTGAGAAAAATAATTTACACGTCGATATCCCTAAAAGGCACATTTCTAACACCAATTCAATTCACACACAAACGTCCAGCTTATATACACATACAAATCTAATAAGATTCGGAGAACAAAAAGCCTTAAAACTCCAAAATTCAGAGTTATTCGCGAACATAATTTTGAACCCACCGTAACTTTTTTTTCATACTCTTTTCCGGGAGGGACGTTATATACATAAATGAAAAGAGCTTCAAGGAGAAGACTTTAGCCAAGTTTAATTAAAATCGTTACAGCCGTTTAGGCGCTACAGTCTAAAGCGACACAGGCTTTTGGGCCGCTATATCGAAATTAAAGATCGGAGGGTGATTAAATGTATATAAAAACATTCTTGAATGCGATAGAAACATTAAATCAATATCTCAAAGCGATCGGTGAAGAAGTTTCGGAGATTAGCGGTTTTGAACAAACGAACATTTACGTTTTTATTAATTTAGATTGTACAACAATGAAAACACGTTGGTCGCTATTATGACGCTTCATTTTTACTAACCCTAAACTAGCAGCTGTTATATTGACTAAGAAAAAGAATAAATAACAGTGTATTTGTATTTAATTTGAATCTTGCGTTAATTTTGGGACACCTTATATTTAGTCATTTTCTAAATCTGTATCTTGGAGAGAAAGGACACGAGGTCAAATTTTTGCATTTATTCAGGGAGCCAATTTTTCATAACTTTGAGCTATTCGTTTTTGAGAGAATTTGTTTCTTAGTTAACAAATTATTTAATAAAAAAAATGGACATGGCGTCCTTTACCTTTACCTGTATCTTCATTTTACATTATGAAAAATACTGATTAAGTCATATTGATTAAAATCTTTAATTATGGTATCGTTAATTAACTACAAATCATTCGTTACAAAATATATGATTTTTTTTATATATCATATAACCATTACTCAGTAATTTTTAAATTATTACCAAAACATCAATTGTTTAATTTTCTTTATTGCTAGCGATTTCACCTGTTTAAATTTTCTATGGTACAATATATGCCTGTTCGAAATGAATCAGAAGTATTTTTTTCTTTTTATTGATCAAAACCAAACAGCTACAAGCACTTCAACTTCACACATACTTTATCAAAACATGAATATTTTTCTAGAAGATGGCGAAAGGCAGTTTTCCAAGTGTTAATTAACTCATAGAAACCTAAACGGCTAGGTAGAAAAATAACCGGAAACTGCATGAAGGTGACATATTTATCTCTAATACAATTCCTCATACCGATCTCTTTCGCATGAATCCTTTCTGAACACAATCTTTAAAGAATATTAGTATTATAAATAAGCAACATATTGAAGTTGAATGAGTCATGGGATGGGCGCTAATAAGTAGAAGGCTTTGTTGAAGCAAAAAGTCATCAAGTCCTGCGTAATTGCAAGTAAGGCCACTAAACAGTTACGCAGCGGTATTGTGCAACCGTTATGATGAACCGCTGATGGACACGCCTTCATCATAGCAGACCAATCAGCATCATCCCACCTATTGCCAATCATTGCTGTAAGCGCGATTTGAAAGGACTCATCGTAATTGCGGTTACATCTCTTCATAGCATACCTGTCGGAATTTCAGTTGACCTAGAGAATGTAGGCTGTTGGTCTTGCATATGTACTGACATAATTTGATTGTATTTAAATTTTTGAAAAATGTCGCTTATTCCGAATTTAATATCCTCTAAAACAATTTCACAAGACATTGCTTCCGAACTCTTAGAACCAATAGTCCTGGTGCTGTGGTCCGAAATGTTGGTTCCTCAGATAACTTTACACGTCTTACAAGAAGCACAAGGTGTGACCAGAAGGGATTGGAATGGAGCAAGGTGTGGCATAAGAATTTTTGATAGGGTTAAGAATTTTTGGAAGGTACGAGTGAAAAAATGGAACTTACCACAGCAAGTATAACTGTATTTATTTTTATTCTACTTTTGCTTGCACCGTTTTAAAAAGAGAGCTATAGAACTCCTTGGTGAGGGAGGCATGCACCATTAACTTTGGGGAGGTAAAGTACTCCGGAAGAAAAGACTAAATGAAATACGGTGAACCATCAATTATCCGGACAAGTAAAGTTAAAAAGAATTTGTTTTTACAGGAGGCACAAAAAAGTAGACAATTTATTAGGTATGGTATATTAAACATAGATTAACAGGAGTGTGCTGTGCCGATTGATTTACAAATATTTTGGACTCGTCGATGTGTACTCGCATTGTAATTGTGAAGGAAGATTATGCTTTTGGGGCCGATAGAAAACAGACTAAGGCGAATCAAGTGATTATAGAATCAATAATAGTGAATACATAGTTGACCGAAGATGTTGGTAACGAAGTAGGAATAATTTGAAAGAGAAAAAATAAATCATCACAATCATTATATCTTGCGCGACAACCTATCAATGGTTCTGAGCCACCTCTAAAAGCCACCGCCAGTAAGCACGGTCCAGGGATGCTGCTGTCCACTTCAGGATTTGCATGAGGTATCTTGAGCCCATAGACACTCTGTCCAACCGCCTTACCCTTAATCTTTCCACTCTTTTCGTTCTGTGCAGTTCCTCCAAAATACAAAGTAATGAAAACATAAAAATGATGGTTTAATATTTGTTGAAGGATTTAGGTCTTCATCAAGTCGAACAGTTCAGAAATTAAGAATTAGTCACGTAATGAGGAAGTTCATGAATTGGAAAGTATAAATTTGAATCATAAAAAAAATCAAGAAGCTTTAATTTAATCAAGATAACTATATAACACAAAAGAAAAAAAAATTAACATTTTTATAATATAGCTCTAGTTTACTCAGGTATTCCATATCATTAGGTGATAGCCAAGCTCAATAATTAAGACATGATAACGAAAACTTCGAGATCTGTCATGGAAGTGTTCTCAATGAGTAAGATCCTGTGCTCTTATTTTCAGAGCACGGTTTCCAGTCCGATTATCGCAGATAATTACTTATCCTGTTGTACTTACTTGCTACCTTCCTATACCAGGTCGTCAGAACTCAGTAACCTTCTTATATTTTTCACAGGTTACAATGTAAATACTCCATTCCTTCCCGTACTTCCGACCTCTACTACCCTCCTCACCGAACTGCTGCGTTTGACAAATCCTTTGTAATCCAAGCTGTCTCCCTTTGGAATTCTATCCCTCCTGATATTAGGCATGTACAATCAATTTCCTCTTTCAAACCTCTTCTCTTTAAACGTCTACATCTTTCCCAATGTTGTTGTTTTCTTCTCTCTTTCTTTCTCTTTCTTTGTGTATTTTTATTTTTAATCAACTATTATTTTGTAAATACATAATTAATGTATGGCCACACTGTCATTTATCCTGTACTTATAATTTGTTCTAAATGGGCAACAGTCCCAGAATCATAAAAAATATTTTCATTTCATTCTGTCATATTAACCGTGGATCGATCTTCAGATCAGGCGATCATCCTGGGAGATATTCAGCTTTTATTAAGTGTTTACCTTTAATTAGTTTAAAATCCAATCCACTAAGCGTGGCCCTGCTCGATAAATCAACTCCAGGTACCATCGGCCAAGAAACAGAATTTATTTTCTAAGTACTGAGCACAATTCAGTACGGGATTTCTTTATTTATTTTTTTATGTCTGTTATTTTTAGAATAAGATTTCAGACAGTCAAACATTGGTCTGCAGTATAATATATATCGATTGCGTCCATTAAATGTGACATAAGTTTTAATATAATACAATCATTATTCCAGATCTGGTTGAAGAAACAATGAGACCGAACCTTGATATGTTGTCAACCTGAGAAAGTAAACATAATAGCATTTTCTTTACACGCAAGAGGAATAATTTAATGCCAGAGTTCATGCTTGTCAAATTTTACAATAATGGCTCGATAATACTTTTCAATGAAAGCCATAATCGCTGTTAAACAGTTGGTACGACTGAGTGAATGACACTTATGTAACAATGACGAACTTCTGAGAGAATTATATAATATTTGGTAAAATAGTGCGGAAAAATCATTATTCTGGTTACAGAAAAGGATTAAAAATTT